AATTTTTGCAACTTTATCCTCTACTTCTAAAAAATGCAAAATAATCATATGAAGTCCAAAATAATACGCAATATTGCCCTTATACGTATATTTTAAACGTTTTCACGATCACATACATTTGATTTTTAAAATTTTAAATGTAGAATTGAACTCCTCGTCTCGAGGGCTTCGATTTGATATATTATTTATCAAAATTTTAAAAAATTGACAATAGCAAAAAAGGCTATATTGCCTATTATTTTGGATTTCATAGGATTATTCTGCATTTTTTGGAGATGAAGGGTAAAGTTGCAAAAATTGGCGACTTTAAAGGTTTTTTTGCACAAAACCCAAATTTACATGATAGTTTTACATATAATATCCTTGCATAATTATGGCGATTTAATTAACAAACAACATTTATAGTCATTTACTTATAAAGTTATAATACTTTGGTATGTCCGAGCCAGTTTGGACTCAGTTTCAATATATAGTTTGGATTGGATGATTAGTATAAAAAATTAGCTAGACTTATTTGGTTAGCTCATAGTTTTCTTCCGAAAAACAGATATTCCTTCCGTTTTAAATTATGTGTATTTTTTTCTAACTAAGTGTCATTTTATGATATTAACTTAAATTTTCATATTAATTCATTTAATTTTTAAAGTTATTTTAAATAGCATAATAGTGTTTTCTGTGGAGCATTTAAAATATCAAAAACATATTTATATTAAACGGAGGAAATATATTACTGAAACAATTTATTATAAGTCAGGTACTCTAGGCATTTTTCTTTAGTTAAATGCAGTTGGTTCAAGATTTTTTTGTTGATATTAAAAGTTTCATATTTCATTTCAAAATATTAGCGTATATATATGTGTGTTGTCATTGACTTCACAATTTTTTAAAACAGAACGTACGTGCAATTTTTTTTTGTCAACACGTAAAAATTATTAATTAATTTGATCAAATTAATCGGTGTATATTTTAATTTTCTTCAACGGAGATGGGTCAATTTGTTTCCTAGTAGTGACCACCGATCGTGTACAACGGTACGTGCATGCATCGAGTCGAAAACATGTTAATCAAAATGGACAGTCTTCCCACGCGTATAGAAGAATAACAATGTCCTAAACAGTATAATTTGATATTTATTTTCTCACATGCTATTTGTTTTTTAATGAAATATTTATTGATATTTTATTTTCTCATATGTTATTTAATTTTTCTTTTCATTTTTGCAACATTTAAATTGATCGTAACTACATCTATCATATTAACTACACAATTAGATTTTAGAGATTTTGTGAAGGAGAAGTCATTTTTTTCTTTGTTCATTAACGACAATTTAACAGCCAAATTTCACAATAAACGTTGACTAAAGGTACACCCAATTTTGCGTAGTTCATAATATACTTGAGGTTGCAAACGTGGAAATTAAGGAATAAATTTGCGAAATTGCAAAAAAATTGAGAAATCATATGGTAATTTTTCCGGTAGATGCAAGATATATGTTAGTCCGGGCAAATAATATTCACATTTAACCACATGGTGGTGGGCGAGTGGTTCTCGTTTGGTTGGAAGGATCGCCCTGTTGGTCTAGGCCAGGGATCGATCCTCCCCAGACGCAGTTTCGCTCTCTCACTCCTGTGGCCACCTGGGAATTTACCTGCGGACTTGCTCAGGCGCCCCAGACCACCAGTTTATCAGGGGGCCCTTAAGTGGAGGCTTAAAAATCCCTGTGACGCGGGCTTAGGCCCAGTGGACTAGTCAGATCATTGTGTGGTCTGGATACTGGGTTATCAAAAAAAAAAAAATAATATTCACCTAATTAAGTTTTTTTTTTTCCGATGGTTTGGTTTCAAACGTATAGCAAATAAAAACCATAAAGAATAATGATGAAGAAGAGTCCATAGGGGTAGGTTTCAATTATAGATAAGGTATAAGCCTAGTGTGGAAGATAAAGACAGCTAACTGAATAAAAGCTTAATTAGGTTAAACTTAATACATGTATCAGTCATTATCATTTAAAAGTTGGTAGGTAAAAAAAATAAACACCAATTAATCATCATTTTAACATTTTTAGACTAACCCTCCCACTCTATTATAGTTATAAACAAATAAACAATTCTTCTGCCTAATAATTTTTTACAAGAACATAAGAATATTCATCTAAAAGTGAGGAGGGGACGTGTTCATTATCAACCATTCTTTTTACCTCTATTACATACAATTTCCACGTATGGAAATGAAAATAACTATGCTCAAATCTATTTTGTTTCGATTCTTTTACCTCTCTTAAAAGCGAAATTTAATTTAAAGAAAAGAAACAAAAGTTGTGGTACATACACAAATGGACGGTAAATATTTTATGACAACGATGAAAAATTGTGGTAAGAGATGGTGATATGGTCGAGGACCTTGTGATCTAGTGGTAAGGAGACAGATTTAAGGCTCCAACACGTCTCAAATTCGATCCACCTGTTGCGTGAAACTCAAACACATTGTTTCTGGACATCCATATGGATATGGATCCTTGCTTGCAGCCTATTTGAATATCAAGAGAAAGAGTTTATCCATAGACGGCACCTATTTGAATATCAAGAGAGAAGGTCTATCAATAGATCGCACTTCCCCATAGGCCTAAAATGTGATAAAAACTAAACAAAAATGCTGTTGATAAAACAAAAATGTGTTTTATCTCATCTCGTAACTCTTTTTTCTTTCACAATTTCTTTTGCTGCAAGAATTTAACAAAACAAAAATCACCTTAATAAAATATTAGCGTATAAAAAACATTCAGTTATAGATTCTAATGGAAAAATAAAAGCCATGCCCATTACACTACAAAATCATTTCATCATCCTCATATTGAAAACTGTTGATGCAGAAGAGCCAAGAGTGGTCTGGTGAGTCACTCAGAAGACTCTTTCATCTTTTTGGAAACAGTCTCTTCCTTATGCTTAAGCTTAGCCTCTTTCCGCTCTCTCTTCAATCCCTTGGATTTATCGAGCAATTTCATATCGCCCAGCTGCACAAAGATCGAAGCAATCAGTTAGTTTAGGATATTAATAACAATCTCCAGAATCGAATATTGGTATTTGCTTTCGTTCTTACCTTCTGATCAGGCATATAAATCTTCCCAGTCTTCCCTAGTACTGCATCTTGATCAACGTTTTTCACCTGTATAGAAAGAGATTGATTGATTAGTCCGTCGTCGGTTTCTTTTGATTTTAAGGAAACATTAGACGAAGCTTAGAGTTTTTTTTATGTTTTATTATTACCTTCTTCTTAGGCTTATCCTTGGATGTTCTCATTGCTTCTTTCATTAAGCTTTCGTTAGGAAGACGATTACGCCTGATAACCAAGTCCATGGACGGACCAACTTCAACAAGCTCCATTCTAGGAACAATGGAGCCTGACTTTTTAAGCTTCAATGCGCAATGAGTAAGGAAAACCTTAGTTGGGGATATAGCTGAACATACGTAAGCTCGGTCTAGTCCAGTAAGATTTAGATTATCCACAACCTGCAGACAAATACAATTCTGTTATAAGGCAAACTCCATAAATAACCAGAATAAGAACCATAAAACTGAAATTATATTCCTTGATGTTGGTCATGGTATTAGCTGCAAAAGTAGGTCATAAGAATCAAACACTTCACCTCGCCACGAAACAGATCAGTGAGGACTTCTTTTAGATGCTTAAGCTCTGGTACATTCTCAAAACCTTCACCAGTAAAGCAAATGAAAGGCTTTGATCCTTCATGAGGTGCAAATTTCTTGTCATACGAAAACGCCAGCAAGGATTTAAAGTTCTCAATCCCAACTTCTATAAGATCATAAACCTGGTGATCATACATTCTCCCAAGTACAAGATTGTCAGGTCGTTTCTTCGTGTGAGAACCATACTGCAATATAAAAACATTCATCAATGTTAAAACTCGCTTCAAAGTAAGTTTGCTAATATACATTTCCAAATAAATTCTTTAGGACCGTGATTAAATTAGTAAATAATAGAACAAGTTTAAGCTCTACCAATTTCCACCATAACACAAAGACTAATCAAGCCAAAGATAATCACAGGACACATCATCTAAATAACAATTTGCTCTAACACAATCAAGAATCTATCCGATTACTTGAAAACCTAGCCATTCCTAGCTAAGTTAAGAGGAGAATCAAAATCATAGACATAACAAATCAAAACCTATGCAGAGATCTCAGTTTGCCACAACACAAGTATCGAAAAAAAACTTACCACAAAAATGCTACAATCAGTTTTCTGAGAGAAGAACTCTAATGAAGTTTCACCACCACTCTCAAAAGGCCTAATATTCTCATTCCTTCTTGAGTATCTAATGGCACCTCCCTTCTTCAAACGGTACAGTTCCATCAACACAGAGCTAAGTGTAGCACTCGTCTTTGTTCCATGAAGTATCAATGTCTTCTTCCCAGTTTCAACCTAAAAGTTCCAAGTTTAAGGAGAAGTTTTAAACAACCAATTCAGATACAAAGTTTGCAACTTTCAATCGATTCTTTCATAAATTCACCGAGAAATACAAAACCCTTGGGTCTCATAGATACACCAACAACATTTAAGACACTTCTCGGTCTCAGAGGGACGAAACAAGGATTCAAACGCAGAGAAAGAAGAGAACTTTACCAACTTAGGAGCTCGTTTTTCGAGTACACGCTTGGCTTTGCCAGTCTTCGGAGTTCGTATTTCCATCATGACTGATAAATCGCCGGAAATTTTCACAAGCGACGGCTCCGAAAGAAGAGAGGAAGAAGAAGAGAGGTTTTTCGATAAATTGATATGGAGTCTAGGGTTTTAGTGTGCCTTACAATTGGAAGCAACTTTAGGAGAATTCTAATACGACCCCTAATTTTATAATTTTATCCTAAATCACCCCAATTAGTTTTTTTATTGATTATAAAACCCAATGTTTCACATTAACTGTTTAGACTCTCTACGGGCTCAAATTAAGTCAGGCGCCAAAAAGGACATTTCTTTACAAAAAAATTTACAGATTTTTATTTATGTTCACTTTTTTACATTCATGAAACTTTACACATAAACGAATAAAGAACATGAACATAAGAACTTCTATTCCTTATTCGTTTCCATGTTTTTGGATTTGAGTTGTTAAGGAGAAACAACAAAACATTTGAAGCTTCGTGTGAGGTTTACAAGTTTCTCCCAAAGATACGATCGATCTTCACGCCTGACATTGTGCAATCGGTTCTTGCTTCCCTGTTTTATTATAGAGAGAAGAAGAAGATGCAGGTAAGTGTAATTTACATGGAACTGTCTTGTCCTCCACAACCACTTGCTTTTCATCCTCAAATGGGAAAACTCTGGTCACTCACTATTGAATCAGACAGACAAAAGTAAAGAATCTCTAACTCAGATTCACCACAGAGAACGTAAGAACCTAATAGTCTAGACTCTAGACCACAAGATGTTATAGTAAGTTTGCATATGAGTTGACAATACATACCTTGCATAGACTTCTCGAGGTCTTGTAACTGTCTGATGAAACCGGCATTAGGACTTGCCACAGATCTTTTGCTCTTTACATGTTGCAATGCTTGAGCTAAGGTCATTCCGTGTTTCTTCATGAGGTAAGCAACAACTATAGTAACACTGCAAGTAAAAGGGGCATAACATTCAAGCTAAATTGGGTTACCAAATCACTTTGACATATGTACTTCGTATTGAATCCTATCCAGCAACAACACGAAAACCGACCTCCGTGATTTGCCAACAAAGCAATGAACAAGAACACTACCGCCTTGTCTCTTGGCTTCATCAATGAAATCAACACACTCATCGAAGTACATTCCCAAATTTGTGTCTTCCTTATCCACAACTATTACACAAACAAACAAGCAGGTAAGCCATTCCAACACAAAAAGGCACAAAAAGTATAAAAAGGTTAAACCTTTAATATGTTTATACCTCGAACAACCTTGTAAACAAAGTCATCAGGATGAGCTGGTCTTAACGAACTAGCAACAGTCAAGATATGTGTAACATTGTAAGATTGCAAAACAGTCTTGTTACAAGCTGCAGCAACAGATCCAAGATAAAGACCCTGAAAGTCAAATTCAACAAAAGCTTTGATCTTTGAGAATGAATTAATCATTGGTTGGTAGTTCCAGAGAAGAAACAAGAAAACTATGAGTAGTAGTAAGTAGTAACCTGTTCAATAAGGGAAGGGACATTGTCATCTCTATAGGTACGAGCAACTTTAATAACACGAACAAGTGCTTGTATCTGATTCTTCACCTTTTCGTTATACTTATCTATTCCTGGTAACGAAGAAGACGAAGAAGAAGAAGAAGCTGATCCTCTGTCTCTAGAACTCCTGATTCACCAAATCGGAAACAAAAAAAAATAGACTTTACATATCAAGATCATGGTCATAGCAAGAACCAAAATCAAAATCTAGGTCACCGGAATTGGGTTTCAAAATAGTGAAATCGGAAGAATCGCATTAGGAAATTCTGATGAATGATCTTAAAAACGAACAATGGCGAATCAAGAATTCGATTAGCAATAGAATGAAGAAGAACTTACATTGAGAAAGAAGGAATACGAATTCGCCAAAGGAGAAAGAGATTTACACAAAAAAAAAAAAACGAATCTTTGAAATGGGTTAAAGAGGAAATCGCAACTGCATGGTTCTCCAGTTTTTTTGGGGAAGGAAGGAGGAGAGGGAAGATTTGTTCAAAGGAGGGCCAAATCGTAATATTTCCTTTCTATCAGGGAAATGTTGTCATGGGCATGTTTGGAATTCAGGCTTGTGGGCTTGGTTTGCTATTAGGCCATCTAAACTAGTAATAAGTACTTGGCCCAAACTGAATAAAATGTTTAAGGCAATGGTGTGTTGAATATGTCAGCAAAACTGTAATGAGGCAAAGATGTGTTGAGCGATGATGTTGTTGTTAAGGATTGTTTGTTATATGACGTAGTGGTAATCTACTTCAATGTCTTTAGAACAATTGAAAAGAACTGGATTTGTAGTTAGTTGTATCGTAGACCAAGGTCATCAGGCCCAATGAATTCGGAATTTCTATATAAATCTTAAAAATTGGCCATTTTTTTATACTCAATTTGTTTTTTACAAAATCATATACCTATGCAAGAATATTTTTTCATTCTACGAAACATATTTTTGGATCCTTAAGTTTACCCGAAATTTTTGGGCCCTGTACATTTGCTATCCCCAAGAACCGCCACTGAAGGTCATGTAGATTGAATAATATACATGCTAGCTCGGTTGTAGCCATAGCAAAAGTTTGGTATTTAACTTCGGTGGACTATCAAATCAGAGCCGGTCCTAAAAATTTATGGGCTACAAGCACAAAAAAACTGATGGTCTATTAAATGAAGGCAAACGACCAACTCCACTAGTGACATTTTTGAAACATAATCAAGGCCGTAAACATAGGCTGTTTTTGCCCAAACAATATTAGCTGAATGGCTTTCTATAAACTATGATACAAGGGTAGCACAAAAAGAATGAAAAAACTTACCGAATGTCGGCGAGTTTCTCTGTTTCATCTTAACTATTTCGGTTTGATTTATTTCGTTGCGGTTTTTTTCTCCCACTCCTAGAAAATGTGCATGAACATGAAGTAGTTCCTCTCTTGATGTTGGCTTAGGCTTGTTTAGAATTTGGGCTTATGGGCTTGGTTTGCTATATCACCGTATACGTAACTTCGTCACCTCAAAACTATGCGAGAAAAGTGACTTAAGAAGCAACAAGATAACCAAAACTATACGTTCTCTTGTATAACATTGACTTTAAAGCAGTGTTATCTATAAGCAATTTGATCGGAAATATTTAACAACGATTCAAGAAACTAATCAAGAAACCAATCTTTCTCATGAAATTTGCAATATCCAACTACAAATTCAAGAAATTGAGTAAACATAAACAAAAGCAGAAATCGCTACAATGTTTTTTTCCTAATTACAAAGATCCCAACAAAAAAAAACAAAGACCTTCTTCAGACCCAAGTAACCGAAACCAAAGAATTAGCAAGCCCAGATTCTTCAAAAGTCGTATTAGATCCAAAATAAAGATTCTTATATTCCCCAGGAAACGCTTGAATCAATTTAAAACGCTTTCTCTCAGATTCATCAATCTGCGAATAACAAAACGACCAAAGAAGCTGAACAGATTCACTCTTTAAGAAACTTCTCTGTATTCTTCTCCCATCTGGTAATCGAACGCGGATTCTACACAAAACGCTTTGATCCAAATCGCGATTAGGTTCTTCTGGTAAGTGAGGGAATCCGAAAACCGCGTTTGATGAAGGAGTCGTCTCGGTTTCGGATTCTTCAGAGAAGCGTTTCGGGCGTTTGATTCTTCGTAGTGACTCGATTTCCAAAGAGGCGATGTCCATGAACGGTGATAATTTCTCCATCATTGATTGACACTCGAGCATCGTTTTGATCGATGGTTACGGAGAGGAAATTTAAAACCCTAATTTTTTCATAGTAAGAGTGGATTTTGTGATTTTGTGAGCTTCTCGTTTATTTATAGAGAGACGGTAGAGGAGCTATGAAGGTTTGTTTCCTTCTCCTTGAAAATAGAAAAATAGAAAAATAGAAAAATAGATTTATTAGTTTATTTTTTATTTTATTTTTTAACAAATTCGATTTTGGCGATATTTGGCAGTTTTTTTTTTTTTTTTTTTTTTGTACATGTACATAATTTTTTAATTATGAAGAAATCTCTATTTTAATTCATAAAACAATGATTAACAAACCAACCAAGAGTATCACAGAATGCTTCAAAAGTAGAAACTGAAATACAAACCAAGAGTTTTGCTTTGTCTCTCTTTAATTTTTATTCTTTGCATATATGAAGTTTACAAAGCTTTTCTTTCTCAAATCATTTGACGTATGTTGCAAACCAATCAAGCATCTCTTTGTGAGCTTCTTCTGCAGCTTTAACCGCCTCTGGATCATCGATGCTGTATCTAACTGTCCAACCGTGTGACACTTTCGGGTATATCTTCACGTAACTATTCACCTACAGAATCCGTTTAAAGTTAGATAAAGGCGATTAGACTATTGAGTTGCGGTGTAGAAGCAGCTTACCTCGGGTTTGGAAGCTAGAATCTCCTCAAATTGCTTCAAAAGTGCTGGTGGGGACATTTGATCAATCTCAGCTCCTAATATAGCAATTGGAGCCTTCCCAGCTGCAGAAAACCCGTGAAATTGATAAGGATCATCAAAAACCGGTGAAATGAGAGCAACCGGACCAATCACAGTGCTTTTATGTATGTAAATGTGAATTAGTATTCTTTACTGTAACAATGATAGCCACAATGATGGTATCTAATCTTGGCGAGATCAGTTACGCAATCTTATAGGTGACTCTAAATGTTACAAAGCATTAGAGGTGAGGCGTGACAACTAGTGTTTCTTGGTTTTATGTGTGCAATCAAGATGGTAGTACCAAAGTCACTTACCCTTGATATCATCAACTGTGACAAAAGAAGGATGAAGCAAAACAGCTGCTTGAATAAGTTCTTCTTTAGACAGTTCCACCACTACCTTAGCTGAAGATTAATAACACAAGAGAGAAAAGTAATATCCATTAGACATTTTCCAGATCTTTTACTAACAAAAGAGAGCGTCACAAATCTTAGGCTAGATTTCTAACAACAACTCACCACCCCAACACATCCCTGCGGCTCCAATGGCAGTTATGCCTTTGTTCTTTATAGCTTCAAGTACTGGTTTGGTGTTGTCGAAGCCCTTATCCTGAAAAACAAAAGAGAATATGAACTGATTCAGATGGATTCTATCAACTCAGTGTATGTGTTCTTGTTAACAAAACTGCAAAAGAAATTGAGAATGGATAGGACAATTATGATAAGGAGGAGAGGAGAAGGAACGAACCCAGCCATGGTCTTTGATCCAGACAGCGATGGGTCTGTCCTGGTTAGAGGGATCAAAAGGATCTCCACCAAAGTAATCAGGAACCACAACATAGAATCCAGAAGCTGCAACCTTATCCGCAAGCGCCCTTAAGACATAAAATTAAAGCAATGATTCAAATCAAACATCTAGATCTTATCAAATGAGATCAGAAAAAAATAAGTCAACTTAAAGACACACGATAGGTATGCTTCATCTTGTACATAATCCAAAACCAACAAAACTATTTGTAGACACATATCTAACTAGACCAGAAACAACTATTGCAGCATTGAGACTAAAACCACTAAAAACTATCTAATTCCTTCAAAGCAACAAATCCAAATTAAAAAGATTCAATCTGCAATGGTTGAATCGATGAAGAGGGGAGAATTAGTAGGAGTACCTCAAGTTTGGAGCTTCATAACCTGAAGAACAAAAACATACCAAAAGTCAGAATCAACAATGATGAGATGATCAAATCAACAAAGGGGAAAGACAAAAACCCTAATTACTCCGATCATGTCTTCAACTAAAACAAAGAAAGTCAAATCAGAGCAAATCAAAGAAGAAGAGTATATTACCAAAGATATCAGAAATGAGGAGGACGCAGAGCTTGGAATCGGGAGAGCCGGAGACGTAGGCATCAAGCCCACCCAGCTTCTCGACATGACCCGACCCGGAAACCGGGTTCAGAGTCGGCGGGTTTTCGCAGCACTGAGGTCCCGACATGTGTTAGTTCTTCAGAAAAACAGAGAGATGAGAGAAAGAAACCAAACCAAACCAAACTCAATCATTCGTTTGCTTTTAATTTGTCGTGTGACCAATTTAATAATGGAGAATATTCTCGAATCATCTAACGGTTATAAAAATAGTACACCAATCCATCTAACGGTTACAAATAGTACACTAATAGTTTCTTTACAAGATTAGTCTTTTTTTATTTTTTCTTTTCTTCTGGTTCTCTCTATACATACATATAGCGTGATAGATTTATCACACAACACTGGAGCTAGAGAACACAAGTCACAACAAGGAAGCAAATTCACTACAAGAAACACATCTATCAAGCATCTATCTGAAAAAAACTGGAGAGATCAAAACTTTTTAAGAAGCTATGAACGCAAATGAATGATGAAATCAGCTGCGTAGTCCATTGTTCTGAGACCTCCCAAGGAGAGTAATACAATCGCTAGCTCTTCTTTTCCCCATTTTCTTAATCCATTGCTTACACTCTTTAACACTTCTGTATCGATCTCTGTCACCCAGAGAGGTAAACAGCTCACCATTAGACTCACCAAACCGGAAATATATGTCCGCCAAGTTGCTGTTTCGCATCCCACTGATATTTTCCCGTCTAAGGCACTCGCGATGAACTTCAAGTGGCTTCCCAAGATTGCTTGGCGGCGGCGTTTTGATGCAGATGATCTTGAGTCCACCCCCCAAGCAAATGCTCCACATAGGACTACAAAGTAGGCAAGGGCATGACCTCTTAGCTCCGCAACTAGATCTGATGGTCTTTGTTCTCGGTCTGATTTGTCAGTTGATAGAAACCAAGACGGGATGGTTTCTTTGATGAGTAGGTGGACCACACCTAAGCCACCGGTTAGCCATACCAACGAGGCACTAAGCGAAGCAGCAAGCTTGACTTGAGTCATTGCTGTTGCTAGAGAACTTTGGCCGTATCTTGTTCCGTTCTTCACTGTCTTCAGCCTTTCCAGCTTCTCCTTTGAGAGCCTGTTCTGGGCTATATCCTCCACCGAATGTATCAGCAGAGAGAGAATCTCTTCCGATACAGAGACAGTATCTCTGAGAGCACGATACATACGGAGATAAAGAATCCCTGGTGCTACAGGAGAGATCCCGCCATAGAAATGAGAGCCAAATCCATGGCCAAGAAGAGCTCCAACGCCACCATCATTTGACATGGGGGCAGCATTCAAACCGAGAGTGGCACTGAAGCAGTTTCTGAGGAGCTGAATCACAGCGTCTTGGTTGTGAAGGAAGACGGTGCGAGAGGCAGAGAAAACAAGGAAGTCAAACCAGCGTTTCGCCTTTTGGGTCCATAATGAAGCTACAATGGGCATGCAAGGCCAAGGGCAGCCTGCAGCCAAGCACTCCAGAGCTGGGCCAGCCAGGTTGAGAAACCGCTCTGAGGCTTTGTCAATTTTGTAAGTAATGGTTAGACTTACAAAGGCGGCTAAAGGTAAAGGAAGTGTTGCCGGTGAACTCCCTCCTGCAAAAAGTCAACCATAAGTTCAAAAGACAAGTTTAACACATCAACACAGGACAGGTAAAAGCTTATTATAAAGGGAGGATTGTACAGAGATTTAAGCCAAACAAACAGACTCGGCATCCAAACACGTAGAATAGTTTTACCTGGAGCAAGGCTAGGGATATCGACGCCTGTTGTTGCAAGAATTTTCGTTATATATTCCTCAACATTGGATAGATTTGTAGCTGGACTTGGCCAATCCACGCCGTTCATGAATACTGGCTTCCAAACACCTCTACTCACCTCAGCTGAGAAATAGCTTACTATCGTTGCTAATGATGCCGGGAGAAAATCTGCTAAGTCTTTCAGCCCTGAAAGAAAAACACTTGTTATCACGTAATCCATTTCACTTTACTGTAAGAAAAGCATATGACATAACACTGATCAACACAGTCAAAACATCTCTCATTGGCATTCAGAGTTGCCAAAGGTCATATAGACAGATATTATTGCACATGACAACACAATTAGGACTCCTTTCTCTCTCTACCTCTCTCTGGTGACATATTTACGCAATCTGATCCAATAAAACAAAACAAACCTGTAGCTAACTGACGAGGCGAAAGCCTTCCATGAGTACAAGCAGTTAAAGCAGCATCTACAACATATGGAACGGCTTTGAGGATATCCCAAGCAGGAAACTCCGGTCTTGTATTGCTATCTTCACTTGCAGCTCCTGATGAACTGCTTGTGCTTGAATTTACTGGATTTAAAGTCTGACTGCCTCTGACCTTTCCGAACGTCATGTTGAGAAGTGCTTCAACTGTCTGATGAATGGGAGATCCATGTGTAAGTCCAGATAATGTGGCAGCTATGCATCTTTGGTGCTGCCTATACCAGATTTTTAGCTTGGGGAACGAGTCAACAAACACGGGCTGGCAAGATGCTGCCCTTGCAACTTCTGAAAGTCTCTTTCTGTTTCGGTCTCTATCAAGGGTCTCCGACGAAACAAGATAAGAATTACGCACTGAAAGAAGATGTTCAGGAGTGAGTTGGGAACCAACTGTGGGAACATCTCCTACACCATGCTCAATAGGAGGATGATTGAATCTCCAAAGCTTTAAAAGAAGAGTGAATGCATTTGAGAAAACAGAATAGGCTGATACTTGTTCTCCGGAAGGAAGAGTCCATGATACACTCGGGGAGTAAGATCCAAACTCTTCACAGATTGGCATTAGTGAGCAAGCAAGTTGCGGAACCTAAAAAGTAGCCATCAAAATCGTATATTACATCTATCCGCAAATTCAGTATTAAGTCTAGTAGACTTGGAAGCATAATTTACATACCATGCCATGTAAAGAGAAAATCTGAATGCAGTCAACAGATCCTATCCCAACAATAACAACATTCAGCATGCAGGCATAACCAATCAAATGATTTTCAGCCCTGGAATAATCTGCTGGAACGGGTGGGGATAGTAATCTTGTAAGAAACTCAACAGTGTGTTCCTGTAGATAGAAGAAAAATAGATGAAGCAAACATGTCTGTTCAACCGAAAACTTTCACTGGTGGATGTAATGCCAACCTGTATGTTCCAACCCCGTGTGAGAGATGCCCCACAAAGAACTGTAGCAGCAGATATCTTCTCGTCATCCGATCCTTTGACTGCAACCTCATATAGTTTCTCGAGCTCTGCTAAGCTTCCATCAAATCCATGAGCTATTTCAGTTGCTTTACTCTTGGTAAATTAAAAAAAGAGCATTACCTGGCTAAGAAACAAAAAGGAATAACTGAAGAAGAGGCAGAACTTAAGTCAAACTAAAATGCAACCACTCTTCTCATTGTGGCACCCTAGTATAGAGGAAATGTGTTGTAAAATTTATGGTTTCCTCAGGTTACGATTTTCAAACTCAGCAGCTTATTTTTAAATTACAACTGATGGTATGATTTGGAGGGGAGACTATGTGGGTGAAGTAGTGTGCAGCTAATATTTGGAAGGGACAAGAAACAAAAAGAATATAATAACTCATTCTACCTTGAAGCAGGAACTGAAACTAATGCATTCACCATTGCAGCATTTAGTTGGGCCCCTTTCACAAATGACGACCAGCAGGGTACTTCATTCGGCAGACTCTGAGGTATTTGGTTGATTCGGCCATTGACATAGCCAGACCACGAATAGGCCGACGTATCCAGTATGTTTCTTGCAATACAAGCCTCGACTATCAGGTGGCGCATGTTTCCAGCTACGGCATGTGCATAAAATATGTTAGGCATGAAAGAGAGCCCATAACATCAATAAATGACGACAATTATGCGACAATAATGAAGCTACGAAGACATACAGAGCGAATTTTGATTAACTTACAGCAGTTGATAGGCATTTCATTCATGTTTATGACATCAGAACACGACTTTCCAACATTGCCACCAGACAAAAACAAGATTGCCTTCGTAGCAGCCTTGTTGGCAGCAGAAACAACACACTTGGGAGGAGCCAGCAATCCAGGGAAATCACCGAGGACTTGCAAACTTGTAATAAGATCATTTCGCAGCTTTTCCATGACAGATACGTATTTCCTCTCTTCAATAAGGTTTGCGACCACAAGAGGCACAATACATAATGACATGCACAGCCTTGTGTCCAGTCGAGGAATAGGTCCCTCAATAGGATCCCTTTCCTAGCAATAGAGAAGAAGAAAATAAGAACAGCCAATAGATAAGGAAAATCTGAACTTATCATGGATGCAGACTAACAACCAACTAGTACGGCTTTCAGTCTAGCCTAGTTAACTCAAGAGAAAGTGTGTAACTGTAGGAATTATAGAACCAATCACAAAAACACACGGTGTAAGTAGAACTTGCAAGCAATAGCAATTGCGGTTTTCTGGCGACCAAGTAGTGGTGAAATCACAAACAGAAAAGATCAGTAAGAGATTAATCTAACCCTTTGAACAAGTCGGAGAGCTGCTATCCAAAGCCCCAAGAAAGTGTCATGCCAAGTACTCCCATTAATTTCTTTAAGTGTTTTAGCTAGACCTGGAAAAGTTAATATACTTGAGTCATTTCGTTCTATATTTGAGATATCTTTTCTTTAGTTAAAGCCACAAGTGAAAGAAGATGGAGTCTGCAAATTACCGGTAATGATTTCAATTGCACTAGTTGGGTTTACTTGATATCCATCCATTGCATCTTCAAATACTAGATCAAGAGGAAGCCAAAGTGAAGAGAGACTTGCTCCATGGCATAAGCCAGCAAAGGAAGAGAGAGATCCAAAATCCACTATTACATTAGATTTCCGTGATGAAGTTACTTTGCTGTCACAAGAATACCCAAATCGTCTACTTGATATCAACTGCAATAGATCCCCAGAATTTAGAACCTTTGAGTTTTTTAAAGCCGATGAATTTTCTCCAAGCAGCTGCACTTTCTGAACAAATTCATGCCAATTCGAAGCCCTGAAAAGAAATGGATAGCAAATGTTTAAAAGAAAAACACTTTAGACTACAGAGAAATTACTTGTCAAATTCAGGTTATGACTAAGCAAACTATCTGCCAATGCAAAGAACAACATGATGATGATCCAAG